CTGTTTCTCAGAGTTCTGTCAAACTATTTTGTGTTCATGAAGAGACCATAAAAATAAAGTGGCTGTGGTCTTGTGTGTCAAAAAAGCTTTTTATTGGGCTGTGCAGCTGTAAAGAACTTCTCTTAAGAGCAAATTGATGGCTTGTATATGGCACAACTTGAGTGTCTCATCTTAATGCAGTGATGTGAAAAGCGTTTTAATGGCTAGCCTGCAGGCTTCTGCAACAGTGCTGGAACCCTACAAGAAAATAATCTGGGAACGTTTGCTGCATATCTGCCCTGCACCATGATTAGAAGTGCTCCTAAACCCATGTTATGCTTTGTAAAACCACGTTGTTATAACAAGCAGTGCTTTGACGTATCTGTAAAGGAGATAATAACCTAAACATTGTGGTTGAGATTAGTTGTGTCTTTATGCTTGTGGTTACTGTTGCCTTAGAGGGAATGTAGCATCAGTCTTGCGGGGAAAATGTTGCTAAAGCCATTGTTTGGTTATTTCCAGTGAAAGTCACTTTTGCCAAAGTCTCCTTTCAAATGCACATACAAGATTTCAACGTTGGTGGATAAAACTATGTAATTTTTATACTTCCAAGCACTTTAATGGAGGTGTTGATTTAAAATCTTGCTGACTGTAATACTGAAGCCAGCCTGCATCTTCTAATTAAATGAAATCCAACTCATAACAAAATGCTGCTTTGTGGAACTTCCCCATAAAATGCTAGCTGTTCTAAAGCATGATTGACTGCACATTTCACCTTGATTAATGGTGGAATGCACAGGAACACACAGAATGCAGCAGTCAGGCTAATGATAAATATTTTGCAAGACAGGCCATTTCCTTAATCTCAGTGTAAAGGATTATTTTGTTCATTTGCATTCTGATGATGGGATCCAGAATCTCGCTTACTGTCTCCATCTGAGGGAAGGAGCTGATGGTGCTGTCGAACTCGTCCGTCTATTTATGCAGTCAGTGTGAAGTTCTCAGTAAATTCTTCAGTATCTCTGTTCCTTCAAAGCTGATTTAAGCCACTTGATGCTGGATGTGACACTGCTTTCAGCAGCAGTGATGTTAAGGTGAAAATGAAGAGCAAGCAACTGGGCACATAGTGAGTTGCAGCTTGTGTTGGTGGTGGAAGCATGGCTGTAGCACATGTTCAGTCTTTAGTTAAGATCAGACCCATGTTGGAGTACATGGTTATAAACTGTATTGTAGCAATTAAGGAAGATACACACAAAATAATGCCCTTCAAGACTTACACATCTCCTAAAATCAGTGCCTCAAACTCTGAGTATTGTGTACTGGACCATAATTAACAGCTAAAAGGGCTCTACTAAACAGGTCTTAAATCTGGATTATGATTGCAGAACGTCTCCTGCTTGATACCTGATGTCCTGTCCTCTATCTGTCAGTCCTTGAGTGCAGAATTGGTACAGTACAGCCATATTAAAGCCAGGTATTCTGTGTTCTTCAGAATTTAACCTTTTCATTGCAAGCGGGAAGCAAAGAAGAATTCGCGATTTTTTTTTTCTCTGAAAAGAGATCTCCCTTTCAAAAATGGGAGTGAGATGTCTGTGCCAACCAACTGATTTGTACTGAAACAGGAAGAGGAGCGCTTTCTCTTGGGCAGTGTTATATTTTCTTTTTATTTTTGTATGAGAATCTTTCTGTTTGTGAACTTCATGGTTCACTCTTCCACGTGGAACTTGGATAACAAAGTGAATAGTCTTCAACATCAGTATTCTAATTGAACTCAACCTTCCCAGATATGTGATTTCCTTGCTTTAAGCAAGCCATGCTCTCTCAGTAGGTGAGTGTGTGGGTAGTATCTGAGGCTGCAGAGATTGAACTAGAATGATGGGGGTTGATGCACTTCACTGTGCTTCTCAGAAAGGAATTTTTAGAATAGTAGAATCATTAAGGTTGGAAAAGAGTGGTATGATCATTTCATCCAACTGTTATGTACTGTTGGCTCACTGATGTGTACATTGATTCTTCTTTCCAGAATATGGTATCAAGTTTTCGTGTTTCTGAACTTCAAGTATTGTTGGGCTTTGCTGGGCGTAATAAAAGTGGACGGAAACATGACCTCCTAATGAGGGCTCTGCACTTACTGAAGAGTGGCTGCAGCCCAGCAGTGCAGATAAAAATCCGAGAACTCTATAGACGTCGTTACCCAAGGACGATTGAAGGACTCTCTGACTTATCAGCTATAAAACCTGCAGTTTTCAATCTGGATAGCAGTTCCTCTCCCGTGGAGCCTGACCTGGCTGTTGCTGGCATTCACCCCCTCCCTTCTACTTCTGTCACACCTCAGTCTCCTTCCTCACCTGTCAGCTCCGTGCTCCTTCAGGACACTAAGGCTCACTTTGAAATGCAGCAGCCATCACCTCCCATCCCACCTGTCCATCCCGACGTCCAGCTGAAGAGCTTGCCTTTTTATGATGTGCTTGATGTACTCATAAAGCCTACAAGTCTAGGTAAGTGTTTAATTGCATTGGAAGCTGCTTAATTCATGGAGTAGTTGTTGCTTATGACACTAAGCCTGGGTTTAAATTGCTTTTTGCAGCTGGGGGAATTTCCTTTTTTTGAGTTTTTTGATCTGAAGAATGTGGATCTGAGGAATTTGTTTAATGCAAGTGATGAACACCTCTGTCAGGATCAGCAGAAAATTCTTCCCAACAACCTACAATCTCAGTTTCTTCAAGCACCTCATTCTTGAGTATATTTATTTGAAAATTAGTTGGTTGTCTTGAAATTCAAGATAAATTCAGTGTCCTACCTGAAGGAGTAGAAAATATTCCATAAGGATTTAATAGTACAGTTTAGAAACACTTCTAACATTTTGCAAGCTGTCTGCATCCCCCTGCTTCAGTTTTTTAATTAAGTATTGTAGGTAGTGACTTGTACTTAAGTGAGCCATATTGCTTCGTACCAGAGGGGCTCCAGCCCTCTGATCATCCTCCTCTGGGCCCCCTCCAACAGCTCCATGTCTTTCTTGTGTTGGGAGTCTGGATTCAGGAAGATGATAATGTGGCAACTATTGGCTCACAGTTAACCAGATTTATTGCCAGCCTTGGTCACTTTTTCCAATAGAATAGTAGAAATTAACTGTAACATGGTGACTCCCTTAATGAAACATTTGCTCTTCGTAAGCATTTCTAAAGCTGAGAAAAAGAGCTGATACAAATAACCTGCATGAGAGTTCATCTTTCCCTTGAAAAATTGGCTTTTGGTTGTGTTGCACAGGTGCGGGTGTGGGGCTTAGCTCTGATCCACACTTGGTTCAATAACAAAATTATTTCCATTTTAAACACGTGCAAATATACACACAGTATGTCATGCTTATGATTTGGTGCGTGTATTTGTTCCACTTGGGCTTACATTCTTTTTGTGTGAGGTCTGGGCTGAGGTTTCGAATGTTGCAGTGTACACATGTCTTGCACTTGGCTACCATAGCTGTTTCTGCATGGAATAATTTTCCAGCTGCTCATTAAAAACTCACGGTGTGCATTCTCCTACTGTAGTTGGATAAAATAGTTGTAAACATCTCTGTGGTATTTCTTTCTCCAAGTATTCAGTGTTACATTTTGTTGCTGGTACCTTTCTTCTCCCAAAGATTACAGCGTAGCTTGCCAAGCTGCTTTAGTACTGAAGAGTAAAGTGATATTAAGCCTTCTGAATATGGCTGAATGAATTACTTATTCTTTTGCCTTCCTCTTGACAGTTATGTGCTGTTCAACAGCAATTTGATTGTGAACATAAGTGCCTTGTGCCTTGTTTGGGGAAAAACTCAATTGCAGAACCTCTTCTAATCATTGACCTCAGGCAGCATTGTTAAACCTCTTCTGTCTCTTTCTCTTTCTAGTACAGAGCAGTATTCAACGATTCCAAGAAAAATTTTTTATCTTTGCTTTGACACCTCAGCAGGTCAGAGAGATCTGTATTTCCAGGTAAGAAGCAAGTGTTGCAAAAATGTGGGAAGGGAATTTTTTTTGTTTTTTTTTGTTACTTTTTTGATGCATCCCATAACTTTGCAAGCGTGAATGATAATCCTCACAGAATTCAAGATGGATTCAGCTCTTGTATTTATTCCTCTAATTATTGTGCACAGTACTTATGTGTGGGTGAGGTAAACTTGATGCTTCTAAGGAGTTAAAAATTACTGTTTCAGATGATTGTGACTATTTAGAAACATGGTAAGCTTTTATCCCATATGTGTTTCCTGGCTGCAGAAATGGAAGGCTGCTTTTGTCTTTTGTCCTGGGATTCATGTTCTTGCAAGAACTGTGGTGCGAGCCAAAATAATTAGCTTTTCATCCCTCTCTGGCAGCATCATATTTTGTAGTAGCAATAAACTCTTGACAGAAGATGGTGATTCTAAAGACATGCTTAACTTAAAGAAGGTTAACAGAGGTGTCACTTGTAAGATTTGTTCATAACTTAATAAAATAAAAATAAAATGTTGTGTTGACTTAGGTGTACCACTTATATGTATGACTGCTGTCTAAATAGGTACTTTTCCTTTCTCTTTGTTATAGGGACTTCTTGCCAGGGGGCAGGAGAGATTACACAGTCCAAGTTCAGCTAAGGTATCTTTTTCATGGTGTTCTCTTCTGCTTGTTAGCCAGTTAAGAAGTTGTAAATCTTAATGTTTGTGGAGACACATGAACGTAGTGTCAACTGAAAATGTTTTCTCTTTCTGGGTCTATAGGTTATGCCTAGCAGAGACAAGCTGTCCTCAAGAAGATAATTACCCTAATAGTTTGTGCATTAAAGTAAATGGGAAGCTGTTTCCATTGCCGGTAAGCTTGTTTGCATGTATTTGTGGTTTCTTTGACTTGTCTGTTGTTTCTGTAATGCTAGCTTGCTAAAACGATCAAGCACTTTATTGCTATCATTACAATTTCCCTAGACATTAATGCTAGCAAATGTGCAAACCATGCCTGGGTGAGGTAGCCATTGCTGCTATTAATTATGTTAAAGCCACTGCACAGCTTAATTATGCTTTAGCCACCTGTAGCAGACCTCATCTGTGCAGTTAACACTCAAAAAATTAAAAAACAAACCAGTGTGTGCATGAGGAGTCTCCCTTATATAGAGCTGAGTTTGGTTGGATTGGCGATATCCCTCACTGTGCTGGATATCTATCTGTGTGTTGGCCTGAGTTCCTTCTTGTTACAAGGAAACAGTGTCACCTTCTGTGTATGTTTGCATGCAGCTCTGCATCTCTCTGGTTAGAGCTGTGTTTATCACAGGGATGAGGAGCAGCATGTTCTGGGGTACCAGCAGTTACTGGTCCTGTTAGCAGTTGTGCTTGCTGGCGTCTTGTGCTTTAAAAGTTGCTATGTGTACTGGGGTCACTGTGAGGCTAGAATATTTCAAAAAGAAGCACTCTTCATTTTTGGGGAAAAAAAAATCACGGAAATGAGTAATTTGATAAATAGAACAGGGGTTAAACCCATACCCCACCCGTTCTGTAGGATGGATAAAGTAGCACAGAGTTTTTCAGCAGTGTGATTGTAAAATCATGGATGGGGAGTGAAGGTGTGAAATCTTTTCATCTCAGAATGCATACTACTTTCTTGGCATATCAGATTGTCAGGTATGTTTAAGATGTCCTGTTTTCGCCCTGTAACTGTCCCCTTTTTCATATACAGCTGTGACTGTTTCCTTGCCTCTGCTCAGCTGAAGTGACTCTCCTCACCTTTTCCATCTGTTTCTTTAACCAGTGCATCACTATTCTTCTGTCTTCAGTTTATAAAAGGGTTTCTTTGAGATGTTTTCTTGTCAAACACAGACTATGTTCTGTGAGGAACATAGGAGGACTTCCTTTCTTCAGAAGATGTCTTTCTTCAAACAACCCTAATTAATTGAGTGATATTATCCTGGAGATATCAAGCTTTGATGGTTCTCAGTCTTATTAGTATAGCTCATAGCAGGTGATGCTGTGTTATGCTATCCATTTTATGTGTAATGGCACAGTCATAGCAAAAATTCTATAATCTTGAATTCTCACTTTGCTTTAGGTCTAAATCCTGTAGTTTCTTTTTGCACATAGTTCTTCAGACTGTTCAACAGAAACATGAAATGAGAAAGTGAATAAATGACTCATCTTGGCAACTTCCTTATTTCTTCAGTATAAGGTGAATTATTAACACAGTCTCAGCCTGAGCGCTCTGGCCAAGTTTTCTTTCCCTCTGACCTGTTTATTTGATAACTGTCTGCATCCCACTGGTGATTCAGAAAATGTAGGAGAGCTTCTTTGCCTCAAAGATCACTGTTGTCCAACTCAGTAGTTGTAGGGAACTAGTGAGTGATGCCAGCTCTGTTCTTGCTAATTGTTCTTTTGATACATTTTCTGGTTACAGCAGAGTCCACATGTTTTTACTGATATGGTTCTTGCAAGAAGCATGGAAGACTTAGGAATAATTTTGGCAAATGGTAGCCACTGGAATTGGCCACCAAACTGAACAGTGTTAGATCATGCTGATTATGATAGGCAAGCTTCTGTATTAAAGTCACAGAAAGCTGGGAAGGGCTTAGATGTGTTTTAGACATACAAGATTGAATCCTGAAAATCTTTGCTTTGTGGAAGAAAACCATAGAGCTTAACTGAAATGAAGCATATGTGCAACAGAGTAAGACTGAAATAATAAAGAGTAAGAAAAAAATAATTAAAAAAGTGAAACTTGCATTCTTGATCCCTTGGAAGTAATGCAGCCTTACTTTATCTTAGAGACAAACAGGAAGAAACTTGGCATTGTTTGGTACAGTATTACCTCCCTTAAAATGACACTGTGTTTGTCCTTAGGAACTCACTAAAAGGTTCTGTTGCTACTGTGAAAATGATGGGATTTATATCCTATAAACGACTCCAGTTGTTACATCTGACTTGAAGGAATGACAAATCATTCCTTCTTTTAAATGTGAAACTGTAGCAGTCCTTATGCATCTGCTGCCTCCATGTTCTGTGATAAAACATGCATGGCATGATTCCTAGTAGCTCCTGTCACTCATCTTCTGGAGCAGCAAAAGCAACTCTTTAAAAGAGTTGATCAGCAGTTATTGCCTGCAGTTTTGGCCTGGCAGTTGAAACCCTGTGTTTCTGTGCTACCACTGGACGAAGTGACTTAGGAACCTTTGCTGTGTGGTGCTGTTGGGTGTGACAGGGAGCACTCTGCAAAGAGGCTTCTTATCAGGTTCCCATGGAAGGTTTACTGTTGTTTATAAGCTGCTAGCTAAACTAAAAACTAAAAAGAGTTTTACAAACTGCTTTCCAGTATCATTAGATGAACAGGGGAGTATGTTTTGTGTGCTCTCTTGGACCATTTCTGGTGAAGTAGCTAAAATCAGCAATTCCGGCTGTTACTCTAGATAATACTTTCAGAATTTGGTTCTTTCACTCTTGTTTTGAAGTGTTATGCTGAGAATGTTTGTGTTAACTGTGTTAAATACGTGCTTTTCAGCATGTTGGTCCTGGATAGTTTCTAGTGTAGGACAACACTTGAACTGAATGAAATGTGACAGTCAGTTCTGCGCACGATGCAGGTCTCTGGTTGGTGTTTTTCTGATGCAAGGTGAGATTTTGAGTTGAGTGGACTGCAGGCTGTCTGAACTCAAAATAAACTCTGAGTTCCTGTTATGGACTGGCTTGCTTTTGTGGTGACTGTTGCGGGATGAGGTGCAGTTAGGCCATGTGCTGCTTCACAAAGCACAAGTGTTCTCTGCTTGGAAGTATGTGCTTGTCAGCAAAAGGGCTCCTGAGTGAGTTAATTAGTGACATATAGGAAATCACAGAACAGAATCTTTAAGATTGGAAGACTTCCCAGATCATCTAGTCTGATCACCCACCTTCCACCAGTATTGCCCATTAAACCACGTCTCTAAGTACTACCTCAACCCTTTCCTTAAACACTTCCAGGCCTGATAACTCCACCATTCCCCGAGCAGCCTGTGCCAACACCTAACAACTCTTTCTGAGAAGAAATTGTTCCTAATATCCAACCTGAACCTCTCCTGCTGCAACCTTAAGCCATTGCCTCATGTCCTGTTATGGTTCATGGAAAAAGAATCTGACCCTCACCTTGCCACAACCTCCCTTTAGGTAGTTGTACAGGGCTATGTTGTCTCCTCTGAGCCTCACCTTCTCCAGACTGAATAATCCCACTTCCCTCATCTGCTTCCCATAACAATTCTGCTCAAGACCCTTCACAGCTCTGTTGCCCTTCTCTGAACACGCTCCATTTCCTCCATACAGCCTTCCAGCTGCTCTGCCCCAAGTGCACAGTGACATCTGGGGTAGTTGTGACCAAAGTGTGGAACTTGGCACTTGTTGAACTTCATCCCATTGGAGAAATGAAATAAACTATGAAATAAAACTGCAGAGAGAAGCTGTCCAGGTTTTCTTCAGTTTTGAAGAATTTAAAAGTATTTAGTTTAATGTGCTTCTGCTGATAGCAGCAAAGCCTTTTAGCTCTCACATGTACCAGATATGCTATGCACAACTCATGTTCACTGAGTATACAGATGACAGCTGACTGCTAATGAAGCTCTGTGTAATTAATGCAAGGCAAAGCTAGGTGTGTGGGGGGAGCATCAATACAACTTTTTTTCTGATGAAGCATCAACACTGATCTTTACATCTCCAGTAAACCTGCCTGGATCAAAACTCTTATCTTTTCAGCACTCTTTAAAATTGCTTGAAAATTGTTGATGTATATAGTAAGGACTGTCAAAAAGACGGGTATTTCTCACGAATTTTTACTTCAGTCTCCAGTTTGGAGAACCTCAAGGCTTTCCTATTTCTCACAGATCAGTGTAAGAAGATCAGTTTAAAGCTAACAAGTTGTTGAGGTGATGCTTTCACTGTTTTTTTGTTTTTTTTTTCTCTCACAGGGATATGCTCCACCACCGAAAAATGGGATTGAACAGAAGCGACCTGGGCGCCCCTTGAATATAACCTCTCTAGTTAGGTTGTCATCAGCAGTGCCAAACCAAATTTCCATTTCCTGGGCTTCTGAAATTGGAAAGGTAAGCTGTCTGTTTTGTAGGATGTGGGCAGTAGACTAAATAAACTTGTTTAGCGTTGCTTCTAATCCACTGCTTCATACTGCTGGCAAGGTGTAGTGTGATTAGTGGCTAAACTAGTGCTAGGAAACAAAGCTAGCTCCGCAAGCATGGTAGCTTGCAATAACATGAAAAACTTGCGTATGGATTGCAAAGAGTTCTGTATGGAATCAAGGGTTGTGTGGCTTTGAGAGCTTTTCTGTCAGCTTTGCTATTAGAAGTTGCTTGAGATATGTCAAAAACACCCATATCTTTCTGTGATGCAAATACAAAACAGTTCAGACACAACAAAAGGAGAATCTCCATGCTTCTTTGTAGCCTGATTATGTAGTACTATGAACATCAGGTTACGTAGACATGTCTTCAAAAGTTTTTCTCAGTATCTTTTGCAGCGGTTCACTGGAGAGTGCTTTGTAAAATGAACAGTTGTGCCAAGGGGTCATGATAGTGTGTACTTGTTTCTCAGGTTTTTGCATTTTTGTATTATCAATCAGCCAGTATATTTTGTATTTTCAATCAGAGTAATTCCAAATAGTTGGCAAAGGCAATTTTTATTTCATAGGAAGAACTGCTTAACGGATATTTCCTTCTTTATTCTTTCAAGGTTAATGTTTTACATGAAAATAATTTCTCTTGAATTAAAACTGCACTTACAAGTTAAACACAAGTACAATTTCCAGTTCAGAAAGCTTTTAGGTGGTATGTTTCTGGGAGGTGTAACTGGGAGGTGTCAGGCTACTGATATCAATTGCTTCTGGGGTTGGTGTGTCTTAGAAGTGCTCAGTTGAACCACGGTGTGTTTGTAATGCAGAATATCTGTGCAATGTACCTGTTCTTAACAATGAAGCATTTTCCTGAAAGCTTGGGTGGCTTGAGGAAGAAGTGCAGATACAGGGAAGAATGGACAGCAGGGTAGGAGAAAGATGACTGAGGTGTCTTCAGAGTGCAGTTGTAGACTTCATGAAGCAGGAGCAAGGTGGTAGATGCGCTTAAACCTTATAGTACAGGAGGCATAAGAAGGTGACTGCAGGGTGTGAACATAAGGCATTGCAGGTTGTGTGTCCTACAGATGAAACCATTATCATTCTGCAGTTGTGGGACTTGCAGATTCTTCTCTTCATTGGTGACCCAGAAGAGAGGAAATCTTGAACAAAGGATGCCGGCAAGAGGCATGAGCAAAGGAACAGCAGTATATACTAAAAAATGCACTGTACCGATCCTATAGGCTGGCTGTAATGAGACTTGGCCTGGGAATGGCAAGCCAAAGAGCAGGTGCAAAGAAATGAGGGCACAGAATCATTTAGGTTGGAAAAGACCACAAAGGTTATCAAGTTCAGCTGTCAACCTGTGCAGCTGTGTGCCCTCTGAAGGTGGAGTTTGCATCTCAAAAAATGTTCATCTTTATAGCAGGTTTGTCTTTGAACTCTGCATTAATGATAGAACAAAAGGGGAGATGTTTAGGAGTGTGAATGAGAATCTCTTATAGACTGCATGTTTAAAAAGTGTATCTTCTATTTAACTTCTTTTCAAGAAGAAGCCCACCTTGTGTCTTAGTTGTGGAGGATAAGGCTTTTTTGCAGTTAAATTGCAACTTGCATATTTGACTTGGTTAGAAGAATTAAGGCGAAGTGTGGACTTTTTCATAGCAGTGAAGACATCTGTCAGTGCTTTTTCAAAATACCTTCATAATACCAACGAAAAAAATCAGTATGTTTTAGTCTTACTTAGAACAGTGTAAGTGATCTGTTGTAGCAGAATTACTGCCTTAAATCAGTATCTCATCCTTACTTACTCTTTTTGTAGAGTTACTCCATGTCTGTGTATCTCGTTCGTCAGCTCACTTCAGCTATGCTTTTGCAGAGGTTAAAAATGAAAGGTATCAGAAACCCTGATCATTCCAGAGCACTAAGTAAGTAAAATTTAAATTTCTTAATTAATGGCTCTTTTAAAACCAGAATTGATAATATTCAGGAGACTTGCAGCATTTAGAAAAGAAAGTCCATACCTAGAATATTAAAGCTTCCTTTTGCTGTTACTGAGGTAGCTGTTAATGGTTCAGCACAGATCCCTAACCCATAGAGAAGAGTACTTAGAGACTGAAATGTTACGGGAATGCTGTGAGCACTTTCTACTGTTGTGGGCAGTGAGGTGCAGTGCGTGTCTTAAATATGCATTCTCTTCACTTGCATGTGCTGCTGATTGTCTTGTCTGCGTACCTCACTCCTTGATTGTTATTTTTTCTTCTTATGCGTTGGGTAGAGTTTACCCTGCTAACATGTGGCTAGCAGTGCATCTGCTGCACATAAAGCAGTCTCATGATGTGCTGTTTATCCGTTACCTACGAACAGTGAAGCTATCCCACTGGTATTAGCTATAAGCTAGTTTCTTAGATACTCAGTTGTTTTAGATAGCTGGAAACAAAATGCATGTGCTGTTGAATGAATACTGGGGTTGTAAACAGTGGAGCCTGTCTGTAACTTCTTAATTTGTTTTTATAGTTAAAGAAAAACTAACAGCAGATCCTGACAGTGAGATTGCCACCACCAGTCTGCGGGTGTCTCTGATGTGTCCTGTAAGTAAGGCTGGGAGCTGCCATGTACAGATTCATGTTTTCATCTGTAGTACAGAGTTGGGTTGCTCTTAAGAGACCTGATTTGGAAATGTAAGGGGATTTCATTACATACTGCTTCATTAAGATGTAACAGGGAGAAGGGTGTATCTGCAAGCAACCTGGTTGCAGCAGTGTTCCACCAACAGGCTTGAACTTGTGAATGCCCCAGCTGCAGTGCTGTCGGAATCACGTTGCTACTTGTGTGCGTATATGTTGAGACCTTTAAATGAAATGATCTTGTGTATTGAGGCATCGTCTGGTTGCGCACGGTGATAGAATAAATAAAGGGCACAGTGAGCCTTGGGATCATCTGCTCTTTGGGGTATTGCTTTTACTGTCCACTATTAAAACTGGAAGATAACCTGATCACATTGTAACAAAGTCACAGCTAAGTGGTTTTCTCTTCCCAGGCAGAAACTGATGTTGTGACTTGTCAGTTAAGTCTTACGCTGACATTGGTATAATGCCATTCTAATGTGACTGCAGCTCGCAAACCCTTGAAATGACAAAATAGGTACTTTAGTAGGTCTCACTAATAAAAATCAAAATATAGTTGTAGGTCCATTAAAAATCTGATCATTTTCAACTCAGACTTTGATGACTGCATTATTGTTCCTTCAGGTACACTGTATGTGATTTGATGGAGTGGATTTGCATGCAGTGACCTTGGTGTTGGGTTTGTAGTGAGAAAAGATAGTTCCCTGCTGGTTGTCTCATTTCATTGTTAGCCATACAAGTCTGCTTCACTCTCTTCTCTCTGACACTCTTTAAATGCATCTTCTCAGCTGGGGAAAATGAGACTGACAATCCCATGCCGGGCTGTCACTTGCACACACCTGCAGTGTTTTGATGCTGCTCTTTATCTCCAAATGAATGAAAAGAAGCCTACCTGGATCTGTCCTGTCTGCGACAAAAAGGCAGCTTATGAGAGCCTGATACTAGATGGGTAAGATTTCCAACTTTTCATAATGTACTTATGCTTGTGACCTGAAGTTTAGACATTTAGCCATTTTTTTTTTTCTCAAAATAAATTAAAGTGGGAGGAACCATTAGAATCCTTTAGCTTCTCTTCCTTTGTAACAAACTATGTAAACTAATTTCCTAATGGAGTCATCCAACTTTTGAGCCTCAGCATATCCTATCTAGAGAAATCCAAATGTGACATCTCAGGCTGTCTTCCTTTTACATGAGCCTATCTCTGAAGCTATTGACACAATTTGAGTTAAAGTTTAAAGTTGATTTGAAGGACGATGGTTTTTTACTTTGTGAAAATCTCTGAATTGCAGTAATGTTGGAGTAAAATATGGGTGGGTTGGAATACTCTGGATTTTCATGTATGCTTGCTGGGGAAGGCTACAGCTGCAGGTTGTCAGGTAAGATAAACCAGGGAGATCAACTATGGGTTGATGCTGATCATAGTTTCTCAGCGGTCTCATTTTCACTTAGCAAAAGTCTGGAACCAAATGTCAAAACCACTTCATTTTTTTCAGACTCTTTATGGAAATCCTTAATGAATGTTCAGATGTGGATGAGATTAAATTCCAGGAAGATGGTTCCTGGTGCCCTATGAGGCCTAAAAAAGATGCTGTTAAAGTCTCAAGTCCACAGTGCACCAAAATAGAAAGTGAGTACATTGTGGATATTGGTGGTAAATCAACTAAAAGGCTCGATGCATTGGAGGCTTGGTGTTTCTAGCTGGGATGATGGATATGGACATTGATATTTGTTTCATGGAGAGGGTGCTAAATTCTTCTCACCTTTTCATTTAATGTAAAAAGAAAAGGCTATGTCTCTGCAAGTATAGGTTTTATTTTTGTTCTTTATAACAACACTTTTGTTGCTCTTGTTATGGCCTAAAACTGATAAGTGGAGACTGAGAAAATTGAGCTTTAATGTAACACCGAATACCACTAATAAAACTGTTCCTGGGTTGTAGTCACCTCTGTAGTGGTCTTAAAGATGATCTAATTCAGGATTTGAAATGATGGTTCTATTGCAAATTGGAACTGCTGATGTCAGCAGCTTTAAAAAAATATATATATATATATATTTGTTTTTCTGTTTTAGGTTCCAGTGTTGTTAGCAAACCATGTTCTGTGACGGTGGCCAGTGAGGTAAACAAGAAGAAAGTTGATGTTATTGACTTGACTATAGAAAGCTCTTCTGATGAAGAGGAAGATCCTCCAGCCAAAAGGAAGTGCATATTCATGTCTGAAACTCAAGGAAGCCCAACCAAAGGGTTTGTCAATTTTGAAGTTAGTTGGTATTCTGTTGTGTATCACATAAACTGATGTGTAGACATACTGAATCAACACTCTCTTTGGGATTTAGCTCTGAACTTCCAGAGAACTTCTAGGCCTCTCTTTTCAGCAGGTTATATTGCTACAGTACCTCTGTGCAGGCAAACCATTATTGCATAGGTTTGTGTCTCTCAGAAGATGTGCTGAGGCTGTGTTTGCAAGGATGTTTATCTGCAGAAAAGGAAACCAATTAAGCTAATGTACAGAACTCTCTAGAAATCAGATTATCCCAATTGCAGGAACTTCATGCATTCTTGTTGAGTTACTGTCATCTTACTTTTCTCACTGCGTTTTACCCTTTATCGTGTGCTCTGGTGCTCAGGAAACAGCTGTGTTGCACATTATCTCTTCTAGCTTGGAAGGGGAGGAAGGCACTTCCTTGTTTTGAATGAAGACAGTATTTTTTTTCTTCTATCTCATTGTTAGAATCTGAAATGTCTTGGTCATGGTTGCTGGCCTTGGTTGTTGATCAGTTCTGTGCCTTGGTTAACACAGCCAAGGGCTTCCTAAGTCCTCGGTCAATCCCCTTATCTCTGTAGTTGTCTGAATTCCCTGTCCTGAGTCATGCAGAGTTAACTGACTGCTGTTCTGCCTTCTGTTTGCTATGATCTGTGCAGTTTGGCTATAGCCAGTCTTTGAGGTTTCCACACTGTTCTTGCTCTTAGGTTGCAGGACATGAGAGCTGTAGGGTGCACAACCAGCAAAGCAGGGAGAAGAGGGCATTGATTAGGTTCTCCAACAGGCACTGCTGCACATAGCAATTTGAAGCATTGGCTTTATGTTGGCCTTTTGGTTATCCAGCTGCATGGACAAGGTGTGTCTCTCTCAGTGTGGTGGCTTCTCTTTTTCTCTTTTTAAAAACAAACCTTTCTGTTTTGCTAGCTTTTGAAATGATAAGCAGGTGTGTGTGCTGTGTTCAACAGCAGTGTGTGGTCTTTGGCTAGCAACAGTTAAGCAGCTACCTCCAGTAGTGGTGGTGAAATACTGTTGCTTGTTGTAAATGCTGTGAAGGGGCTCTTTCCCAAGAGACTTTCTTATTTTGGTATAAAAAATAGCTGTGAACACATCTCTTAATGACGATCCAGAAGATGTCAAGATTCTTTCCAAACTGCTGGGTTTGTCCAAGGTGACTGCCTGCAATCATAACTGTAGGACTGAATTCTCTTTTTTATCTAACCAGTTCATTTTCCTCAGTGTTTGGGTATGGAAGTAGCATGTTTTCCTTCTTGAAATCAAAGTCTAGGCCCAGGCTTCTGGAGAACAGCTTGCCTCCTGTGAAGAATCTTGCTTGAATGCTAGCTTTGGTGGTACTGTGATGTGGCCTCCTTTTGGCAGCAACAGCAGAGAGCTGATGTTAAGGAGGTGCTTGAGGGTCTGAAATCCAAATGTCTGAAACCAGTAGTGTAATTGCACAGTAGTTTATGGGGGAAGATTAGATTGCACTAATTGCTGGTGAGTTGAAAGGAGGAATACAGGACAACTGCAAGTGGGACTGCTGTTGTTACCTGACAGTAAGCGTATGAAGCACTTGGTGGAGGTGGTGGGGTGCCAGATTGCCTGTTACGTGGTCTTTTACAGTGCTGCAAAGTATGCTGAAGAGTTTTGTGATAGGCTGTGTGCTTAGAGAACTGAACTTAGCTTAGGTTTGGCTGTTGGCCAGGGTAAATTCAAGACTGAACTCCAGGCTTGGAAGTCTGTGCTGTGGGGGCTGAATCCTGGTCAGCTGCATCCTTAGTGCTATAACTTAGTGCTAAGGAGCAGCAGAAGGACTTGAAATGCCCTGCTCTTGGCTCAGGCCACCTGCATATGTTCCACAGGGTGCTCTGCAGATACGTGTCCTGATTGTTCTGAATGACTCCAGCACTGTACTTTATTTTAATCTCAGCTTGCTCTTATGTCACAGCTGCTGTTGAGAGCCAAGATATGATGTTGTTATGAAGACTGTAATGAAAGGAAATTAGAGTGGAATACTGTGTAGTGAGTAGCCACGCTGTAGCTGTGTTGTAATGTGGTGACTGTGAACGAGAGTGCAAAATATCTCTTCTGTAATTTATGGCAAGGTTGATTGTAACATGCTGTGCCTTTAAAACAGGGTTCTCATGTATCAGCCATCCTCTGTCAGAGTGCCCAGTGTGACAACGGTTGATACTGCTGCTATTCCTCCGTCGTTAACAGACTACCCCGTGCCATTCCACCACCCACCAATGTCCAGCATTTCCTCAGACTTGCCAGGTAGGTGGTGATTATTTTTAATGTATGTTCTGAGAGACTGTTAATATGCGGGGTGGGTAAAAGTTGGAAATTAACTTCTTTAGATGGGACAGGATTGTATATAGCATTGCCCTGATATGATGCCTAGACGAGTCTAGTACAAGCTGTCTTTCCAGTTTCAGATTGCACTTCCAACAGTGATGTGAAAAACCTTGCTTCTGAGGTACACCCTCAAATTGGCACTCTGGAATGGCAGCCAGAAGCACTTCTTGATATATCCAATTAGACTGTGTGTAAACACCTGATTGTTACTTGTTTTAGATGTGAGGGAGAGTAGCTGCTTATTTAAGATTGAGAATTGTAATGGCACTAACTCATCCCAGCCCTAAATGTAGAGATTTCTGCTAGCTAATTCTAGTGGTGCTCTGTCTAGACTGTATGAAAAAGGTTAAGGTGAGCTACAATATGTAAGCTGACCTCTATTGACTTTCTTTACCTAGACAAACCCTAAATGCCTATGATGTATTCTTCAACACTGCTGCTAAATATCAGACAAAAGGTGGGGATACTGATTGTTTTCTATCCTGGCTCCTTGAAAAGAACGCTGTGTGTAGGGACTCTGGGGGTTCTCTGTCGGCTGTAGTGAACCTAGAGCCCAGGAAATGGTGACTTGTGACAGCAGGTGTCACGTGGGCCTCTTGTCCTTCCCCTGCCCTGCTCCATTGCCTGTCTCCATTTCTCCCCTGCCGCATCTCTGGGTTTTTTTCATCTTCTTTCAGTTTGGCACTGGGATGGATATCGTTCCCCTTGTTTCTCTGTCCGTTTTGGTTGCCTCACTGCTCCCTCCCTCCACTTCTCCCTTGTTAAGAAATTCATTTTCTTTCCAAATTGGTTAGAAGACTAAGCTGAGAGAATGGAAGTCTAGAACTTTGTTCATCTCTGCCAACTGAAGTTCTAGCATGTGTATGAACAACAGCTGTGAATTCTGTAAAAGCAGCTGCTCTTACATCTCCTTTAAAATTTTTCTTTAATTTTCTGTAATGGAGAAGAGTAAAGATGGCACTGGCTGAAACAGATCTATACTGTAACAAGAGAGGGAGGGAGAAAGCTTACCATTTCTTTCTGTTGGCATAGCAAACACAAGGCCAAAATTTTGAAATAGAAATGGCTGCGATTTCTCATTGATTTTATGTTTTTTAAACATTTTGCCCTAAATGCTTACGTGCTAATGGCATAAAGGATGGGCGCTGGTTGTCACTGCTCATAGAGGATTACCTTGAACTACTTGTAGTTTCCTCTTCTTCGTTCCTTTTATTTGTCTAGACGCAAAACGGGGATGATATTAGAAATGTTTCCTTATTGGCTGCCTATGGGTGGAGGAAGAGACCTGCTGCTTGTTTTTGGACTTGTGCATGTTGTGACTTTACTTCATTCCAGCATCCTTAATGTGATGACACTCTTCATGTCCCAGTTTGGCCAAGTCAGGTACAATATGCAGTGAAACTTGTGTTATGAACAACAGCTCCAAATGGCAACCTCCATCTAAGCAACCACATTGAACCACCCTGCAATATCCAGTGAATAATACATCATTGTCATCCTCATTCTTAAAAGAGCCACTTGTACTAGAAAACGTGTTTTGCTGCTGCCTGAAGTCGTTGAGAGTGGTGTCACAGTGGTATACTTCATTTAGAAACTGTATAGCAATTGCAAAAATCTGTTCTACGACAACAACAGAAATTCCTTAAACTTGTTGTGTATGAAGAGAAGGAAGACACGTCAGTTTATTATCCCTCTTTTGTTTCTAGGTTTGGATTTCCTTTCACTAATTCCAGTTGAATCACAGGTATGTTTCTTAACTGCCAAGGGCTTAATTTCCAAGAGTGTTTTCTATGAAACACTGCTTCGGTAATGGTCAGGATGTTGTCATTCACATCACATTTGCAGTCCACTTGCTTAGATCTAACCACAGACCAGGAAAACACATTTTACCAACAGGTGGTAATGAGGAAAAAAATGTATTAAAGGAGGATTCTGTTTAATGACACTATGAATCCATGCACAGCAGGTTATTGGTAGCTTGCTTTGCCTTACTAAACCATGTACTTGCACAGTGCTGACATGAATACTATTATGTCTTTCATGCTTTTAGTTTATACAGTATATCTGTAAGCCAGATTAACTTCTGTAAAAATTTCAGTGTGGGTGGTTTTGATAATAATTGTAGATTGAGTTGTAAAAACTATATTGTCATATTGTCTGGGCACATTTACTGAATGTTTTTACAAGTTCTCCAGTGTAACACATAAAATCCTTTGGCCTTACCACACATGGAAGTTTTGTAGATCAGAAGTAACTAGCTGCTGCTTCTGCTTTCATTTGCATAAATGACTGGATTATAATTAGATTCTTACACAGACAGTTGATAGCCTTCAAGAGGGGAATACTGCCTCCCTAACTAAGGTAGTACTCAACCTGGAGTTCTCAGGAGAGCAGAGTAGCAAATGACAATCATCTCCCTTGACCTGCTGGCCTCCTTTTGATGCAGTCCAGGATGATTGGCTTTTCTGGGCTGCAGGTGCACACTACTTTTCATCTGACAGTACGCCAAGCCCTTCTCTACAGGGTTGCTCTCAATCCATTCTCTACCTATACCTTGTATTTTGTGCCCAGAATGTCTATAATCGGGGAGCAACGCACTGCACTTGGCCTTGCTGAACCTTATTCAGTTCACAGCCTGTTCAGGTCCCTCTGGATGGTATCCCCTCTTTCGGCACCTGCACCACTCAGCTTGGTGCCATTATCCTTGTCATTAAGTAAGATACAAGTAGTACTGATTCCAGTAGTACCAATTTCAGTATGGACCCTTGAGGGACACTGTTCGTTACAGGTTTCCATTTGGACACAGTGCTGGGAAGTCCCGATAGTGGTCATGATAGTGTTTCCTAATGTGCCAGTAAATGCTCAGACTAACTGGTTAGGAGGAGGAAGAACAGAGTGGACGAAGAAGAGATTGCTGCTCCCACCTGTGCTTGCTTACTTGCAAGAACTCTCGTTCTTGCTCTGCATGCACTAGTGAGGTCCTGCTAGTCACTTGTGTTGTGTTTGTTGTAGGGAAGATGTATCTTCAGAGCATACATTTCCCTTGTGCAGTTAGTCTCTTCATTTTTCATTGTTTGTTTCAAGCAGTACTGTCCTCCTATGTTTTTGGATAGTCTCACCTCAACCTTAACAAGCAACACGCCTGGCAGCATCATCACATCGACCAGTCACCACGAGAGCAACACACACGTTAGCTCCTCCAACAGGAGTGAGACGGGAGTTATAACCAGCAGCAGCGGCAGTGCTCCTGACATCATCTCACTGGACTGAAACAAGAGGCAGCATTGGAACTCCAGGAGAAATTGCACACAGCTGCTGCTTGTATCTCTGGAACTTCAGCATCTCCGAAGTTACTCTGATATTTATTGAAAGGATCTGCCTTATGGAAAATGACGTAAATTCATTTACATTAGGGACAGAAGTGATAGAACTTTTTTTTTCTCGCTTATTAAATAGTTGGTATAGGAGAGGCCCCTTCAGAACATGCGTTTTGTGTTTCTGCATTGTTCTGGGGAAACTGACATGTTGGATGGATACAACAAATGTTTAATTTTGAGGATGACAGAGCACAGGCAGCCCAGAGAGGTGGTGGAGTCTTCTTCTCTAGAGATACTCAAGGCCTGCCTGGATGCTTTCCTGCTTGACCTTCTGTAGGGAACTGCTTTAGCAGGGGGTTGGATTAACTGATCTCAAGGTCCCTTCCAACCCCTGTGATTCTATGATTTGTTGTAAAACAGCAATAATGTAAAAACAGACTTTTTTTTTTTAAATAAAAAAGGCACTTAACCACTCTAAAAAAAACAACAACCTGGAAAATGGTGCAAAGATAGATGGTGAATTTTTAATATTTTCACTGGGGCCGGTAATAAACTTCATTTAAGACAATGAAGCTTTGTGAAATAGCCATGACTTCACTTTTATGTTTTGTGATCCCCACTTTCCCCTTGTCTGGGATGGATGGGAAGGGGCTATAAGTGGAGTTTTTTTTCTTTAGATTTCATGTTCTTCACAAACTTAACACTCCTAACTGTGACTTCTTAATGTTTTTTGAGCTGGGGATGGGCAAGCTATCTATGCAAACCTTGCATTATACAACTTCTCTGTGCTGCCATGTTAGAGTGGGACACTTCTCCCACCACCAAAACCCCCAAACTATGCACAGTTGGGACATAGCTGAGTTCTGATTTGATAACTTCAAAAGATAACAAAGTTTTTCCTTGCTTTAAAGTACCTGGTGTCTTTCTTTGCCACCACCAGCTCTGCCCTTAATGCGCCAGTGAGCTGCCCGCTTTCTATGACACTTGTAAGGAGAGAGCACATTGCTGATTTCTCCAGTGCAGAATTGTTTTCTACCCACACCTTTGCAACGGCCGCATTCTGCTAGGGCATACTGCAGTCTGGCTTGCCATGTTGTAAGTATTTTTTCTTGGAGCAAAACAGCTGAGCTGCATACTGCTCCCACTCGACTCGAACTACGGAGGTTGCTCTGAAAGTAATGCTTCCTATTATTTCCATGGAAATGACAACAGATATGAAGACACAGTAACGCTATTTGAATAGAGCATAGTCTCAGCTACAAAACACTTTTTCAGCTATTCACTACTGTTAGTTAGCTCTGTATTTTCACCAGTGATGAATTAGTGCCCTAGCCGTGCTCATAAATGAACATCAGTGGGTGTCTTTTTTTTTTTAACATGTAAGAATTCAGTTTCACATCTTTGCTTCATAAACACTTCCATGTCAGATGCTATTCGGTTGGACTGCCCCTTTGCTGCCATCTGTTGCATGATGACAAAATGGAATATTGATGAGAAAGTTCAGCATCTACTTGCCGTACCACCATCATCTGCCTCTGACTTTGTGGGCTGACAACATGAAATAGGAGGCATTACTTTTGGAGCAGCCCTCATACGTTCACGGCTGAATGATGCTTTGTCCCACCATAGAACTGCCATGACCAGAAGGCCGCGTTATCAGATGGAAATAACCTCCTCTTCTGCTGTGCTGCCTTGTTCAGCGTGTGGGGCATGGCCCGGCACGTTTCTGGGGATAACGCAGGCAGTGCTGTACGTGGAAGAGGTTACAGACCAGGAAAATCATTTCCGTACTGCTGGAATAATGGTATTGTCTGTATATGTTGACATAGCAACTTTTCCAAGTGTTGTTTCTCTGTTGAGTAACTGTATTTGAGATTACTCTTTCCCTACTTCCAGCATTCATTTTTCCCTAATTTTGTTTCATGCTTTCTTTCTTTCATCAAATGTCTGGTGCTTTTTTGCCTTCCAGTACTGTTACAGTATTTGAACTAAGCATATGGATAAGAAATGTTGAAGCAGGATGTACTGTACCTCTTGTCTGCTCTGTACTCTCATTTTTAACGCCGCACTGCTGTTTGTCATTGCCTTTTTTGTATCATCTTTCACACCAATCCTCAATTCACCCATTGGTCTTAATATTACATCCATTTTCTTCTCCTTTCCTTACCTGTTAATTTTTTGTATCTGTTAAGGATCAGTTTTTAGCATGATTTATTTCTAATAAAGCCACGCTGCTCATGAAGTGTTTTTTAATGGCTTGCAGCTGGTCGGTGCTCTCTGCATCACAATTGCACAGTAAATGAGCTAGGAGTGGGGGGAGGCTCGAGAGCCCTTGTGAATAAACTGCTTAAAACTTTACTGATGGTGCTGTTTGTGGTCTTAATTGTGAGGTGAGGTGTGAGATCGCTGAACTGGCTGAAGGGATGTATACATGATGTAAATAGCCCTGCAAGAATATTGGGTGGAGACTGGGGGTCCCAGGGCAATTCCAGCATGTCCCTCCACATGAAACACATGACTACAGCTAATCTACAAAGTTATCTGGAGGTGGAACGCCCTCCTTCAAGCCTGTGCACTTACGTCTTTCAGCCATGAGTAAGAATTGGCACCATAAGGACCTTCAGGCAAAATCTGCAGTGATCAGAGGTTCACTGTGGAAAAGCCTGGCCACCAGTGCAGGATCTCAAGTCAGTGGTAAAACATAATGGGAAAGGAAAGAGAAAAGAAGGGGATGGCTCTGCAGTAGAAAAGTTACGGCTTATTGTGAAGTTCTGCACCCTAACTCTATCAGAACCTGAATAAGGCAGTGTTGGCAAACTGCTACTTTCCTAGCAACTATTTCAGGCAGGTAAAAATGAGACCAATTCTGCAAAACTGCAGAAGGACTTGGTGTGACCAAAAAACAGGCAATAGAATAGCATATGAAAGACAATTTGCATGATTAAAGAATGTACAGGTAGATTGTATTTCACATGTAACAAGGCCTGATCACTACCACTCACTGTGAAATCCTAGCATTACAGCAAGCAGTATAAGAGCATTCCATGTCCAGAAGCAGTCAAAGGTAAGGCACAGAAAACAAAACATGACCAGTGAAAGCCTGCACCTTGAATGCTGAGTGTAGCTGTGGTTTTCTTTTTACTGCAGCAGTTTCTGCAGAACTGAAAAAAGGTTCAGAGAAGAAGAACACATCTGGTCAAAGCTTCCATGCAAAGATGCGAAGAAAGGGGCAGCAGTGTATCAGGAAGGATACAGCTGGGGGCTGAAAATAAAACCACACCAACCCAGCGCATAAAGATCAATGGTTCATGCTCATTTCTGATATGAAGGAAGCATCAGCTGAAGCTAATAGATTGGAGGGACACAAAAAGAGGCATTCAGTTGTTTCATTTGCTATTACAGAATGCTTTTGAAGATTTTTATAACTGGGAGAAAGGAAAAAGAGACACACAAAAAACAAGGCCAGAGGAAGGGCTCTGTAGCACACTCATACGGTGGTTTGGTGGCAATGCAGGAAGGGCCACGTGCTGTTTCAATGGTAGCCATAAGACTGGTGAGGACATGGAAAGCCATCTAATCTGTTCAGGCCCATTCTCCATCCTTCTCTTACACATTCAAACAAATACCAAATTATCCTGCATGCTGCCTCAACAAACAAGTTCTTCTATCCAACCTGCTTCGGAGGAAGACCTTAATTCAAAACAGTGGGTACAGAGCCAGTTCAACACTGGAGTCTTAATTTGCAGATGCCACACGTTCTTTTGGCACCCTCTGCTGGCAGGAAAGGCCAATGAGTTGAGGGCCAGAAAAGCAGTCAACTTCAAACAATGATCTGAAGATGGGAAGAGACAACATTGAGCTGATAAAATCAGAATTCTTAATCTCCTTTATCCTACAGTGGTCTTTTTATGGATTGTATATCAGTATCAGATAAAAGTGTTATCTTTTGTGTTCTCCTCTCCATGTGTTCTTGGTTGCACAGACTATTCTACTAACTCTAACAAGAGAAACAACTTTTCCAGCAGTACATCTATGGTTGCCATCATTATTTCTAGTTAGTTTTCCTGTTGGCTGCATCTTCAAATCTACATACTAATTCTAAGCTCTTTCATTAATATATTAAAAAATTCCTGTCACTACTTATACAGCTCTCCTCTTTTAAAAAGTTTCAAATTGTTTTAAGGAAGTTGCTTTAAGGAAACCAGCAACAGCAGATTTTATATTTTCAAAGGTTAATATCTAGTCATATTCCATATACTGCAGTCCTCAAAAATTGCTGAATACCTTAATTGGAGTAAAGCATGATCTTCTTCCAGATTCTTAAGACAAACTTCTAGCTGAAGCTTGCCAGCTCCAGTAATTATATGTCCACCAGACTCTTCAATAATACACTAGAAGAAGAGATATTAAGGTGCAAATATTTTAAGAATTCATTAGTATTAACAAACATACAGACTAAACCAGAAAATGTCAGATCCTCAAACTGTTTAACCCCAAATATTCAAAAATGTAAATAATTATCATCTCTATATAGCTTCTAGGAGTGCTCCATGCTCAATCTCCTTATCAAAAGAACAGTTGATCTCCTCATCCACCAAAACATGGCAGACATGGCACAATGAAACTATGCAGGAAACGATGTTGTAAAGTATAAACTATTTAATTAACATTCAAATTTCATGGGGAATTCAGAATAGTCAACTGCATTCAGTGAGATGCTACAACTTACAGAAAGCTTCTATTACCTATCTTTTTTTTTGCCCCCCCAAAAAAGGAAGGAAATAAAATACACTGTGGTTTTTCTAATTAGAAGGTCTTGCTTACCTGAAACACAGTCAACCACAACAGGAGCACCATCAGTGACAGAAAGCTGCTGGACCTTCAAAAGGAGAAACCAACACTTCCGGGAGAGTCAGTCAGGCTAATCAGAAACATCAAGCCTTCTCTATGCTGTTTGATGGAGGCTAAGTCAGAGTTCATACATAATGAAATTATCCTGTAAGGGAAGATAATTCATTTTAATAATTTGCTATTTTCAATATTTTCATTATTTTAAAATTTGCAATGATTAGGCAAATATACTTGCTCTGCTACAGTGCCAACATTCCTTGATGTACTTAGAAGACAAAAAATATGATAGGATTTCAGTATTTCAGTTCTAATATTCTTAAGATAAAAAAACCTGCTTTGGTTGCATCTGAATTTTTATGCAATATATACTAAAATATCACAGCATTATGTCACTGTCAGACATGAAGAATCATGCTTCAGATGACTTTACAACTCATCAGCTTTGCAGCTACACATATCATAGACAGGTAATATTAAAAGACAGAGGAAAATAACACATAAAAGAGACAAGCAAGCTTACATAGACTTGACTGTGATATATCTTTCTTGTTCTAATGCTAGATTTCTTAACTGTGATCACTCAGATGTGGCCTACTGTGAAATTCAGCTGATGAGGAGGAAAAACAATACCCTAGTTTCCTTTTACAGTAAGTCTGTGACATTTAAACTTACAACATTTGATTTTATATTCAGTCTAAAGAAGAAATGAAATTGTTCACAATGTTAAGCTTAGTATTATTAATAGTTGTTCATATTTTTTACAACTTTTATGATTTTCAAAGGATGAAGAGCAGAGGTAAGACTCAGGGTTAGTATTACAAAACAAAAACTGCACAAAAGTGGAGAATTCACCTCAAGAGTCAGAACAGCTCACTTCTGCCAAGTGAGGGGTCAGTATGTACTACTGCAAAAAATCTCACATGGTAATTACCAGGTATTAAAAACGTGACAACTTAGCAAGTCTTACTAATCAGGGCTTGTCTCACTTTGTATTGAGTTACCTGCAGGTCACAGGACAGCAGTTCAGGTGGTTATTTCTACAAATAGTGCAAAAAAAGAGCAGAAGTGGGAGGAAAAATGATGGGGAATATTAAACACACACCAAAATCACACACCACATCACTTGCTCGAATGGAGAAAAACACCAGAACAATCTGTGCACATCTGTGCTTAAGTTGCAGCTAACACAGAAAGAAAGAAACATGCATTTCTATCACTGTACCAACAGATGTTTCCAACACAGTCTGGGTCTTAACAATGGATCTGAACACCTGGAGCTGGAGACTAAGGCTCCATCTGCAGCCCATACCCTCTGCACATATATGTTTGTTGCATCCCTGGCACTACGATCAGGCCATTATGACTGTGAAGTTTTCAGCATGGAGGAAGCTTCATTGCAAAGAACTGTGCAAAGTCACTAACTTTGCTCTGGCAAGTACCAGACCTTTCCTTCCCAGCAGTTTCCACACCCTGAAGAATTAAGGTCCAGGTTGGATTCTTACCTTCAGCACATTTGGCTGCAAAGTGATGTGGACAACCATTTAATTTACCAACTAATTAGGATTGCAGAGATTAATTATTATTAAAGTCAATATCAAATTCACTTGAAAAAAATCTACTAGTTTTACTAGCAGTTATACTTCTTTTTTTTTTTCTAGGTCATTGATGAAATCATTAATAGCATTACAACACAACAAACTTGTTCCAGGTGATCATTCTCTTTACCTGATTAATTCATCTGCGATTATTGCTTTGAAGTTAGAAGGCACTCATAGGCCATTCTCAGTAAAGCAAAAGCTAACAAGGAGCCAGGATTGTCTGAATCAGTAGGATAGTAACAGAATCTGACCCAGATGTCTTTACTGAGTGAGGTTCTTACTGAAAGACATTGAAAAATATTTTACAAGATTAATTTCCTACTGCCATCATGGTATGTTGCTCAGTTTTATTGGGATTATGCCACCATTCTTCATTGCTTTACTCACTATGTCCTAGATAAATATAACTGTTCGCTTTTGGAATGAACTTCAGCACATTGCACTTTTGCCTTCTCAACTCCTGCTGCAACATTTATTTTCCAAAAAAAAAAAAAAGAGGAAAATAATTAGCAGTACTCTCACTAAATGCTCGGTAATAACATCAATAGTTTAGATGAAGCTAATGCTGACAGCCCAGCACACCTTTGTTATTTTTAGTATTTTTAAGAGCATAACACTGCTAGCTGACTTTGCATTCACTTTGCCCTATCACAACAAGTTGCTTTTGCTAATACAACTAGGTAATCCATTCTTAAGTTTCTACTAATTAACTCATTAATAAAATAAATTATATTACAAAAGATAAAGTACTCAATTCCAGCATTAATATTCATTTGTTGCTAGGCTCCAGGAATGTGTTTTAGTAAATAAGCACAACCTGCTTCCAAACATTTTATTTACCACTTCTTTTATCCAAATGCCAAAGCAGAATTAACTATTTACTATTTACACTGCTCTGCAATGGAAAGAGACATTGGCATCACACCAACTTTTGTTGCAAAGACAACTGAAAACACAAAGCTGGATTAAAAATCAATAATCATTTTAATTTAAGATGTTTTTCATTACAGAGCTGGTATAGAGCTTCATATCTGTTCACTAGAGAGCAACCAAACTGAAAGTATCTTTCTATGACTACTGCATGAGGAACATCTGTCAACAATGGGGAGCAAAAATGAAGGAGAAGGAAGCATTATGTGTAGATGAGAGAAAATCACTGTTTTGTTTCAAGCAGAACATCGCTTTTGCCACCGCAGACAGACAACAGCCCTTCTCCTGCTGGCTGCAGCAATTTGCATAACCCACACTGCAGGTCATCCCTGGTGCTCGCTAACATCTCCAGTCTTCCTCTTCTGCAGGGCACTTCTTACAGCAGTCCACATTCTTACGGTAATGACACATGATGTAACTTCAGCTCAGAAATACATTTTCTATAAGCAAAGAAAAACAAAATACGCACTAAAGCTAACAGTAGCTTACAGCAGAGATAACTGCACTGTTTCAGCAGAACATGGTATCAAATGCACAAAAGAATAAAAGTGAGAGGTTCCAGAAGCATTAATTAATCATCAAGAAATACAAAGATGTATGTGTATCTGCTTATCACTAGAACAGGCTGGTAAATTCAGATTCACTGGAATAAAAAAAGACATTCAGAGCAGGTGAAACATCACCAGAATGGCTGCTATTAAAATAATAGGACAGGCTTGCTAAGGGAAAAAAATAACAAACACATGCACAGAATCATAGAATCAGTGAGGTTGAAAAACACCTCCAAGATCATCAAGTCCAGCCACTGACCTGACTGAGCCCCATCACTTAGCAATGCCCCTCAATGCTTCACTGACACTTTCTCACAATGTTCTACACTGGACCTTAGTGGTATTTCCAAAATTTACTGTAAAGATCAGACAGGAACACTATTTTCTTTTAAAACAGAATATCACAGAATCATTAAGATTGGAAAAACATATTCCAGCCTAATCATCAACGTTGTTTCAGCATCTCTAACGTACCAGCTCTTACAGGGAGGGGAGAAACACAGCCAGCACAAATACAGTGTGAACACATAACGAGGTCACAGCAAAAATCAGTTATATGATTTCACACTTGCACAGAGAAATTGAGGTTTGGTACTCACATGGATCGGTCTGCAGTGTCTTGTAGGACACGTTTTGCATTTCATGTAACTCAGAGGCTCATTTATTCTGTCTTTTTCGACTGAAATGTAACAAAAGATGCCACACATCCCCACTCTGAGACCTGCATTGTTCTGGGGTTTCTTATTCCACTATCAGTGATGGCACTGCTTCTTTTAGTGTATTTAGAAACATTTCTGTCAGAGCAGCATTCTGCGACTAGACAGACACCTTAATGACTTTTTCATCCTCTCTATCTTCTCCAAAGCCAAACTAATCAAAGTGTGTGACTACAGTAAGAAACTGAGTCAGATTTACCAACATTGGTTTGTAACCTGCTCATTCAGGCAGGCTGCTCTTGGGAAAGCAGGAAATTTTATTTCCAGTCATAGTGGCAGGATACTTGCACATAAGAGGGTACTAAGCATCTGAATTACTGATGTTTCAGTGAGGAAGTATACTACCTTCCCTTCTAGAAACGGAGAATTTCCATGAGGAAAGCTGACCAGATCCAGGTCAGACCATCCTTCATCAGCATCTGTGCACTGTGGCACTGAGTACAGTGCATATTCAACATATCAGGCCCCTCAAACATTTGGTTTGGTAGGAGGGTGTTGGGGAAGAAACATTCCTCCCACTGTATGCAAAGATCAGGTTTGTGACCACCTGAGGAACCTGAATAGTCACAAGTCTATGGGTCTTGATGAGATGCATCCTGGAGTCCTGAGGTAATTGATCTAGTTGCCAACCCACTCTCTATGATATTTGAACAGTAATGACAATCAGGTGAAGTCCCTGATGAAAGGAAAACAGGTAACATCACACCCATTTTTAAAAGAATATGATCCTGGGAACTACTGACCTGCAGTCTCACCTCTGTGCTGTGAAGATCACAGAGCAGATCCTCCTGGAAGCTTTGCTGAACTCATGGAAGGCAGGGAGCTGATATAGCAGAACCAGCATGGCTTCATGAAGGCCATGCTTAACCAACCTAGTGACCTTCTGTGATGGTGTCACTGCACTAATAGAAGGGAAGAGCCACTGATGTCATCTATCTGAACTTCGGTAAGACCTTTGACACAGTATCCCACAACATCCTTCTCTTGAAAATGGAAAGATGGAGTTGGTGGGTGAACTGTTTGATGGACAAAGAACTGGCTGCAGGATTGAGTCCAGAGCACAGTGGTCAAAAGCTCAATCTCTGGATGGAGAACGGTGATGAGTGACACTTCCCCAGTCAGTGCTGGGGCTGATACTCTTTTGTACCTTAATCAGTGATTTCAACAGTGGGTTCGAGTGCACCCTCAGCAAGTTTGCTGATGACACTAAGCTGTGGGGTGCGGCTGACACATCAGCAGGATGGCATGCCATCCAGAGGGACCTTGAAAGGCTGACCAGTGGGTCCAGGTGAACTTCACGAGGTTCAACAAATCCAAGTGCAATGTCTGCACCTGGGTTGAAGCAATCCTCACTACCAAAACAAACAAGGGGATGAAAGGATTGGATGTAACCCTGCCAAAAAAAGACCTGATGATACTGGTGGACAGCATGCTGGACATGAGCCAGCAATGTGCCTTCACAGCTCAGAAAACCAACAGTATCCTGAGCTGCACCAAAAGAAGGATCGCCCTGCAGGGCAACAGAGGTGATCCTGCACCTCTGCTCTGTGCTGAGACCTCACCTGGAGCACCGCATACAGATGGAGAGTGCTCAGTGCATGAGAGACATGGAACTGTTGGAGCATGTCCAGAGGAGGGCCGCAAAAATGATCCAAGGGGTGGAACACTTCTCCTATGAGCACAGGCTGAGAGCGGGGGCTGTGCAGCCTGAAGAAGAGAAGGCTGCGAGTTGACCTGATTCCATCCTTCAGTATCTAAAGGGGAGCTGCAGGACAGAAGGGGACAGAATTTAGAAAGGTCTGTGGCAATAGAACAAGGGGAAATGGTTTCAAATTTAAAGAGATTAGGTTACAAGGACAAATCTTTTACAGTGACGGTGGTGAAGCACTGGCACAGGTTGCTCAGTGACGTGGTTGATGCCCCATTGCTGGAGACTTTCAAGGCCAGGCTGGATCAGAGCTCTGGGCAACCTGACCTAGCTGTGGTGTCCCTGTGCACTGCAGGGCAGTTGGACCAGATGGCTCTCAGAGGTCCCTTCCGTATCAATGATTCTATGATTCACACACACACACACACACAGCCTTCTTCCAGCCCTCTAAGCAATACATTTTGCTCCTGTGTTTATGATGGGCAGCTTCTAAGAGCCAGGGGAAAAATAACAGAAACACACCTTTATCCAACGGACTGATTTTCCCACAGGAAATGCTGAACACAGCAGCACCCCCCCCCCCCCCCCCCCCCCCCCCCCCCCCCCCCCCCCAGCAACCACGCACCACGGTTACACAGCTCAGAGGATAAAACAAAATCCTCTCAGAGCTGCCCGAGCCCGCGGTTTCCACTCAGCACCGCCTCCAGCTGCTCGCCTAGCCCCGGCGCTGCGGGAGAACGGAGGCTCGGACAGCGCCATGCCGCTTCCAAGATGGCGGCCGCTCCTCCGCCCTCAGCTCGAGCGCGGGAAGCGCCGCGCCGCCTCAGCGCTGCGGTAGGTGGGGGGGGGCCGGGAGGCAGGAATGCACCATGGCGGCGGGCGCGGGCACGGATACGGGCACGGTCCCTTCTGCTCGCGGTGTCTGAGGAGACGGCGGCCTCGAGGGGCATGGGGCGGGGCTGAATGCGTCCGGCTGAACCAATAGCCCCGTGGCTGCGAGCTGCAGAGCGCTCTGAGATGTTCCAGCCGACCCGCTCCTCGTCCTCTCGCAGCTCCGGCGGGACGTTAGGTGGAGCCCTGCGCTCGCACAGCCGATAGCGCGGGGGAGTGGCTTTAAACTAAAAAGGGGGAGATTTAGGTCAGAGAGGTGGTGGTGCCCCATCCCTGCAGACAGCCAAGGTCAGGCTGGATGGCTCTGAGCACTGCTGGAGCTGTGGGTGTCCCTGTGCACTGCAGGGAGTGGGACCTGGCGGCCTTTAAGGGCCCCTTCCCGCTCAAACCGTTCTGTGGTTCAGGGATTAGTTGTCCCATGTTCCTCAGAGCGGTGCTGTAGCAAGGGAAAACTTTCTCAAGGCTGAACAGAGCCAGCTCAGCCAGCCTTTCCTCACAGGGGAGATGCTCCAGGCCCTTTGTCGCCTTTGTGGCCCTAGCATTGCGTGAGCTGTGAAGCTGACACCGAACAGATCCCTTAACCCACCTCACTGCGAAACAGCAGTGAGAGAAACTGTTACCTTGCTCTGCAGAACTGGGGAATGCTGGTATGGAATGCCTTAGGCAGACAGATTCGGCTCTTTGTGCACTTCTCTGCTATCTGAAGACCTGATTGCTGGTTACAAAACGGGCTTTTCTTGTGCTTGCATACGTATGTGGGAATGAAATGTTTCTGCACTGGGTATTGAGGTGGACAATTGATCTAAAGAAGTAGAACACAATGTGTTTGTGTTCTGTAACTTGTCCTTAGGAGTAGCTGATGTGAAAAGTAGAAATACCATATACGTATTAGTAACATATTTTAGAAACATAATTACTGAGCCATGTGACAAGTTCTTTCTCACAAAGTTGCAATAGATTTTAAATGTTTTAAACAATGTAGGTATGGTATTCTGAACTAGAAAATGTATTGTAAGATTGTTCCTTGGGCCAGCGAATGTGAAATACGTTTAACAAGCTTTCAAGGAGCCAGGGCCTTTACACAAAGCAGAACTGTCCCACTCTGTGGGAATGTTAGCATGCCATAGGCAGGCTCCAAGATACTCCCCACTATCCTCCTTCCAAGCTTATCTCTATGCAAGGACAGATGGATGACCCAGGGTAAAGGGCACAAATGCTAGAGAGGGGTAATTAAACACCTAAGAGGTTAGGTTTATGTTTATGTTTTAAAGCAGGCATCCGAAAATTATGACCAGATGTTTGTTAAGAAAGCAATGGTTAGAAGGCAATTAACCAATGAAGATAGTTGTGTATGGGTGGCAAGGATTTGTGTTTACTTGGTATTTTTATGATTAGCGAAGCGTCGTGAAAGAGTGTGAACTTGCAGTACTCAGCCAATGAGTAACCAGGGGAAAAAGAGATAAGCATTGGGCAATAGGGGATAAAAGATGTAACGCTGTTTTCTGTCCTGCTTGCAGGAGGCCCACCATTGCAATTGCGAATAAAATTTGCTTTATCAGAGATATCATCCTGGAAAATTATTTGGTTATTTCCAACACACACACATGTGATTTTAGAACTATTTTGCATGGCTGGTGCACACCCACGATGCAATCAATGTAATTTACATTATCTTTTTTTT